GAGTTGCATTTACTCTAATTAATTAGAGTCCATAGCTCAATCTCCCACCTCCTCTGTTATTGGAGATGGAACCCAGGGCTTTCACATTGAGATACACCTCCAGTCCTTTTTATTGCAATTTTGAGACAAGGTTTTTCTAAGCCTATATGTTGCTCAGGCTGGGTTCAAACTTGTGATTCTCCTGCCTCAGCTTTCCCAGAGTGCTGGGAACACAGTAACTGGCATGGCACAGGAGATCAGTCTATTGAAGGAATTAACAAAAGAAATAGGTAGGAGGGAAGGAGGCAAGGAGAGGAAGGAGAAAGGAAGCAAGCACAGGAAATTCACCTGGTAAGGGTGGAAGGGGAGAGGAAGCTGGTAAGAAGAAGACTCCAAGGTGTGCCCATGCACCATGATGAAAGAAGCAGATAGGACAAGTACTTGGGAAGATCACTTGGCCTGGGCTGGAGTAGGCCTGATCCGGTCACCAGAGCTGCCACTAGGGAGGGTTTTCTGTTCACCAGAAGAGGGAGAGGTGAGGGGCAGAGGTCCTAGCTTTGACTGCCACTGGAATTATGGTCTTGGTGCCACCTCTGGAGAGCTGGACCAATGGTGGGCATGGCCTCTGCTTCCTGTGGCTGTGGGCAGTCTAGGGTTTTCTATGTCTCTTCACCTTCCCAGCTGGGTCCCCCATAACAGCTCTGGGGGACTGCAGAACAAAAGAGATGAGGAGAAGAGCTGGCTCTTCTGAACGCTGCTTCAGCTTTGGGACATGGGGCTGCCATGGACACCGAGAGGCATGGCTTCTGATGTTCTCAGCCTTGAGCCCAGAGAGCTTTTCTGTGCAGGAAGCATCTAAGGTTGTTATCCCTTCATAGTAGTGAGGTGAGGGGTGAGATGTGGGGAGAAGGTAGAAGGGTATTACCCTGATGGAAAGGAGCCATCTGTTGGCCAACAGCGCCCACCAAGCACACTTCTGTGTGCTGTAAGAGGGAGAGTCATTGGAGAAGACAACCACTGAGGATGGAGTGCCAAAAAGGAACTTTCACTGCTGGGGGATGCAAATGATTCCAGATGTTTCCTGGCTGGAATGAGGAGCCCAACCCAATGGGAAGCGCACTTCAGTGCAGGCAGCACAGAAGGCACAGGGCAGTGGGGTGCCAGCTCACAGAGGGTGTAGGAACTGCACCATACCCAGAGTCCTTTGTGAAGGGACATCGAGGAGGAGGGTGGACTGGGCCTGTGATCACATGCTTGCAAGACTGCATTCGTCCTTATGGTGAGGGTGGTGTTGGGGATCTGCCTGGAGCAGCCAGTGGACCGTGAGCTCATGTATTTGCAAAGCAACAAACAGTGCAGTTCCAACGTACAGAGGGGCCCATGTGGGACTTTCTCAAGATCTTTAGTGAGAGCAATTAGCTTTGTGGGGTCCTTGCTGGGTTCACTGCATCTTCAACAGACAAACTGTGAAGGCCAAGACCCAAGTCAAAAATGGCAGCTATGATTTGAATGCCTAGGTTTAAGGGAGTGCTAAAGGACAAGTCGGGGTGACCAGTACAAAGCCTTTGAGGAAGGAGGGATGAGGAGGCATGGAGTACATTCCTGTGGGCTTGGGTATTGTTTTTTTCTCTCTTGAGCTGAACTGCACATTGCACTGGGGTAGCAGATCCCTCCGTGGACCTTGAGTTTACAGTCACAGTGGTATTGAGCGATTAACTGTGGCAAAGATCTTGACTGTGTGTGATCTTCCAAACATTCACTTAAGCCTTCATCCTTCCCAGCACTAGGTCTGGGTGCTTTCTTTGTTCACCTGGAACAAAAGACAACCAGATGGTGACAGTGAATGGCACTGGTTGAATTTGGGTTTGAAACCAGCAGGAGGCTACAGGAGATAGGACCATTTTAGGATGAAATTTGCCAGAAGAAATTGGACTCCTGCTCATTAGAAGGGTTTTGAAAACAGAGCTGTTGTCTTTGGGAGCATTGTGGTTAAATAAATAACCTGAGCATCTAGAGCCCAAGAGCACTGTTTGTTTTCCCTTGCTCTGTACTTTTGATTTATTTTTTCCCCATTTGGTGCTAATTGGGCTGTATTTGCAAAAATTGCTATGACCTGCTATCCTGTATCCTTGGCCTAAAAGACACTTGAGGGGCTTCAGAGAAAAAAAGGAAGATACAAACATGTCCTTTCTTTCTTTTTTAAAAAAATATTCATAAAATTGAAAGCAAAATACAGAACGATGCAGTTCCACCCTACAAAGGGACTTAAAATGGAACTTTCTTAGGCCCTCGAGTGAGAGCAACATCTCTCACTGCTTTTCTGATTTTAAGTTTTTCTCTGTTTTTATTTAAATGTACTCAGAGACTATTAAGCAGCTGCTGTTGGCTATTTTGAGAAAAATGCTAGTATTCTCCCAAAGCACAATTTAACATTTTTCAGAAAGTATCCACTTAGCTTTAAAAAATGTGGTTTCCCTGAAAAGCTTATGTTAGTTTCATGCTTTCATAGCAGCCAGTGCGAGCAAGACAGCAGTTGGGCGAAGGAATGATTTGCTTGCCCGTGTGGTGTGTTTATTATCACATCTTATGACATTATATTTGGAGATATAACATCGCCTGCTGAGGGCAGTGGCAGGACTCTCTCACCTCATCTCCCAGGTGCCCAGGGAGGCAGGCAATCTACAGTTCCTGTGGCCACCCTGTCTGCTTGGCTGGCTGATTGAGACCATCGCAGCATATGGATACAGTGCAGAGGGTCCAGGAGGGCACCTGGCTCCAGAACTTGAGAAAAGAAAGGTCCCACGATCTTCTAGAGCAAAAGCCCTTTATGGGGCGCTGCGCATATGCACACTTGCTAATCTACAAAAGCCTGAGCTGAGTGTGGCTTGTGCCTGGCTCTGAGCTGGATAGTGAGACAGAAACAGACAAGCCAGGGCCCCTGTGCTCATGGCACTCACCAAGTAGAGAGGAGCCTGGTGTGGAAGCAGACAGGAACTCACATTTGGCAGCCCCTGGGGTTGGTGTGAGACCTCAGAAGAAGCAGCTTCTCCAGCCTCACATTCACTCCATGTTATGGCTGTGCCTCGATGTCCCCCCAAAGCCTCATGCACTCATAGGTGGGGCTTTACAGAGCTGGCTGGATTGAGGGCATGTGATACTAAGGTTAAGGGCACACGGTACTAAATTGGTTTGCTGGTTGGCTTGGCATAGTTTTGGGTGCGGATAATGGAAAGGCCCACCCTGAGTGTGGGTGGCACCATCCAAAAGGCTTGCAGCCTGGATGAGATAAAAGGGAAAGGGAGGCTTGTTGCTTCCTGCCTATCCTGCCATGGACTGTTTCTTTGCAGCTGTCATGTCCATGTGCCACGTTGCTCTGCCCTGGAGCCAGTCAACTACAGACTGAAGCCTCTACAAATTGTGAGTGGAAACAAAGTTACAGCAGTCCTCTAACTTGTGCATGCCAGGTATTTTGTCCCAGCAATGAGAAGGCAACTAAGGTAACCAGTGTTCACTGGGCTTCTAGCATAGATTATGATTTGTTAAACAGGCACAGATGCTCTTTGTGATCAAGTTCACAATCAACTAAGGGGTCCCTCCTGTTCTCCTCAGCCTCACATCTCTCAGATGTACAGACGTGTACACACAGAGGACACACAGGCACATTCACAGACCTATGCACAGGAAATTTCAATATGGGAGGTGTGCGTGTGCGTGTGTGTGTGTGTGTGTGTGTCCCCTCTTGTGCAGACAAGACAGCTTTTCAGAAGTTGTGCTGTCTTAATTGTCTGCCCCAGGGTATTTAGGAAAAGAGCTGGCAACCCAGAACTCTCCTTAGGCTCAGGAGCTGATGAGGTGAGCAAGAGGTGAGGCTGGGGCTGGGGTCACCCTTGCAGAGTGGCGCATTTGCCTTGCTCAGGGCCAGACTGTTCTGCCCCTGCCTCCCTTGACACTGTTTTTTCCTTTGGACATCGCACTTTTGATACTGTGGGTTGGGGTGTGGACTGGCGAGTGTGTCCTTGAGCTCCTTAGCATCTGCAGCCAAGGTGGCCCATAAGGAGGAGCTGTGACATGTGGCCTTGTCCTCGGATGACCTGAAGGTACAGAGGTTGAGGTGGGGGAGATGGTGGTGGGATGGGGCATGAATGAGGGCCACCAGCCTCCCCTTCCTCTCCCCTCTCTCTGCCCAAGACCTCTACTCCCAGGCCTGAGCTGCTCTGCTGGTCCTACCTAAACAGCCTCATTGATGGGAGCAGAGACCCTGTGCTCCTAGACTTCAGCAGGAGATTAGGAGAACACGGAGTCCCTTGTACAGGCAGAAAGACAAGAGGGACTCACCCAGGAAAAAGGAAGAGAGCACCAAAGGGAAGACAGTAGCAGGCAAGTAGGACTGTAGGATTACAGCAGCGGGCCACACCATGGAGCTGAGAAGTTCGCATCTCCTCCTAACTGTGATAACAGCACATCCCCGGGCGTGTACGTTTGGGGTGACTCTGGGGGAGCCCACCTTCTGCACTACCAGTCTGTGCAAGTCCACTTCGTGTGAGCTCCCATGCGACATCATGCTTGATCTTGTAACAAGCAACTTCATCCCCAGCACAAGTACTTACTGTACTCCTCTTTAATCAGTATTTAACGTGTACTCCTTATACTTTTAGTTACTATAAAAACAGTACTGGGCTGGGGATTTAGCTCAGTGGTACTGCACCTGCTTTGAAAGCACAAGGTCTTGAGTTAGATTTCTGATACCACAAAAACAAACAAAAAAACAGTGCTGTGTTACATGGGCAGCAGCCTTGAGCATCTTGTGCTCCCCCCCACCTCTTTAAAGGTAAGTGAGGTTTGAACCTGGGGGCTTTGTACTGAGTAACATCCTCAGACCTTTTTAAATGTTTTATTTTTGAGACAGGATCTTGCAACATAGCTAAGTTGTTCAGGCTGGGCTTGACTTTAGAATCCTCCTGCCTCAGCCTCCCGGGATACTAGGATTACAGGCTCCCAGGGCCACTTCCAGTGGGTGACCAATGCCCTGCAGGCCTGTGAGAGTGCTCCACAGTGTTCAAAATCACACATCCCTGCAGATCGCGGGACACAGCCCTGGGTGAGACCCACTGCTGTGAGTTCTGACTGGCAAATAGAGAAGTGAGACAGTCTCATAACTAATTCTGGTTGCACGAAAGTGATCCCCATTGTAGCAACTGATAAAGACCAATATTTATATTCACAGGCTGCATTGCCGCAGTGGGGGCACAGGTTTGAAGAGCCTGCTGGAAGGGAAGGAAATTGAGGCTCAGATGCTGAGAGAGGAGCTGAGTTCATTGTGCAGGCGGGGGCAGAGTCGGCCCTGGACTGTCAGAGGCTGCAGCGACGAGCAGAAGGGAGGAAGACTTCCAGGAGGGGAAGGGCCTGTAAATGACTTAACGGGGCTCTGGCGTCTTCACATCTTGGGCAAAACCCTCACCTCCAGTTTCCCTGGTCACCAGCTCAGGTCCCAGGTCATCTCTAGCTCCCCGCAGCTCCCTGGGGGAAGATGTGGGAACCTAAGGGACACCAGCTTCCTCCTCCCACTTGTCCAGCAGCACACGGGTAATCCTGATTCAGCCAAAAGTTTTAATTCCTCTTTCACTGCCCTGAAAACAATTATCTGCTCCCAAGTGCAACACTGGGCACAAACACAGATGTGCGGGTACAACTGTGAGCAGGACTTTGGTGAGAGTCAAGTCCATCCGTATTTGTCTATTAAAATGGGGCCCTGAAGGCATCAAGCTGGGAGGAAAAGTTCAGTCTAAATGCACATGTCCGGACTTCCCTGTTTGGCTGAGATTTTTCTGTAGCTCTGGTTTGTATTTATGGATTTCTGCAGTTTACTTTGACGGGGGGATTATTTTTCTCTCTGCCAACATTAGCTGATTGATTCAATGCACCTGCTCACTTTCAGATAGGGTCTGAGAAACTGCAGCCCAGGCTTGCATCTGTATTTAAAAATGGGAAATACAAAATGGGTTTAAACTTGAATATTTCATTGAGACACTGCATTGTACAAGTAATTTATTTTGGAAATATGGGCCTCTGCCTGGGCCGTGTAGATTCTGATGCTCAGACTTACTTCTGAATATTAATATCTCTGAGGCTGTGCACAATTTGAGATTTCACACAACCTTATCGCCTCGAGATACTTACATAGCCATGAAGGGAATAAAGTGAATGCCTCTATCAGGATATTGGCTTTCCACACTTTGACTTTAACTAATGTCATCTAGACAAGAAAGACAACAACATTCACAATGGAAGACAATGCTGTTAATCACAGAAGACCCTGGATGCGAGACTTCATCATTCTCAGGACCATGGAAGTTATACATTTGGGGCAAATAGATTTTTACTTTCATTTCCAGCTCACAAAAATAAATATTTGCTTGGCTTTTATTTTTATTTGTAAAGGAAAGCTTCAGGAGTCAGATTTGCCAAGGAAGACCCCACAGGCCCCATGCTGTCTCTCCTCCGCACGCCCTGGTTTGCCAGGCCATGCCCGGTACCCTCTGAAGAGAAAAGCTGGAGCAGGGGAGCGGTGCTGACCAGAGGCCCAGCCTTCTGGGATCGCCTCCTTTCCTGGGGATCAGTTTCCCCTTCTGCCATCCTTGGAGTACTTCATGCCTCTAAGCTTGAAGATGACTCCTGTGTTGAACAAGAGGGGAGCTGCCATGGTAGGGGAGTAGGAAGGAAGACTACGGATATTTAGGGGGCTCAGGTGAGTTCCCCAAGAAGGGATGTTAAAATCTTAACCTCTGGTGCCTCTGAAAGTGACCAGTGGGTCTCTACAGATGTGGCCATGTGAGGAAGAGGTGACCCTGAGCGAGGGAGGGTGCCGTCTGCCAGCAGTTTGACAAAAAGCGAGACAGAGACCCAGACAAAGAGAGGGAAGTCTGGGCTTCCTGAAACTGGAAGAGATGAGGAAGGTGCTACCCCAGAGGCCCCAGAGGGTGCTGGAATCAGCTGTCCCTGGGGTCCTGACTGTGGTCTTCATATCTGTGAGAAGGAGCTGATGGAAGCTTCCCAGTTTGTGGTCCTTGCACAGCTGTGGGAAAGTGGGGCTGGAAAGAACAGAGTCATGGCTGCAGCTCTAGGGCAGGGGATCGGGGTTCAAGGTCTTGGGCTCTCCCGAGTTATACAAGCAGATCAGATACTTGGAGTCTCTGTAAAGTGAGGGGGCGGGGTGAAGATTTTCTACCTCATATGACTATGCATAAACAAATGATGTGTGTAAAATGTTTCGTGTAGTGTGGGTAGATCACCAAGTGTATGTGTATCTGTGTGGTCACTTTAGTACGCAACCCCAGTGTCACGAGTTAAGGCCCGATGGCAAATGTACCCTTGAGACCCACACAAGTTGGTCTGAATCATTAAAAATCCTTTCTGTTCTATTTAAACAAGATGTTCATCGTTTGATTCTCTGAAATATCCCTATGCATATCAGAGCCCAATGTAGAGGAGCAAACGCATGACTGAGTCTAAGTCCTTGGGTTCAAATCCAAGTCTTTAGTATTTGTGTGACTCTGAGAAAGTCACTTGATGTCTCCAAGCCTCTCTGGCAGCAACAAAATGGCAATAAGCAGAACCTCACAGGCTGGCGGCATAGATTGAAGTGAGAAGAGTGGTGGAAGGCTTATTAAATTGTAACTTCCCAGAAATTACTGGTTGTGATTGGTATTGGAACTGAGCATACAGCCCAGGGAAAGGTCTGCCATATAGATGGTGTTCAACCATGTAGATGGGGCTGGGAATCATGTCCGTGCAGTCATTAGGATTCCTAGGCAGGAGACTTTCCTGACCAGGGGCCCTATTTATTCTGGTGCGAACACACCTGGATAGGTGAATGATCAGGCCCTACCCAGACAGGAGTTGGATATCCAAGTGTAAACTTGCATATTCCTGGTGAGAGGCCTGAAAAGAATAGGGTTCCCTGAGCTACTGGAATGTCTGTAAATGGAGCTGAGTTTCCTAAGCCTTTCAGTGAGTCACGTTCTGGATTAGCCCAGGAGCGAATATGGCGGCACTGTGGCTGTGGTGGAGGGTGGTACAGGCAATCTTCTGAAGCCGTGTGAGCCCAGAGGGCTGCCTGGCAGGATGTTCTCAAGCATTTCCTGTCCTTCTGGCCTTCTTACCTCTCCCAATCCTTTCCCAGTTGTCCCTCAAAAGCCCAGAGGTTGGGGCCATTTAGATTTTACAAATACCAATTTCACCATTATAGCCTCCTAGAGATTACGCTTTTTGAGTAAAACAACTGAAGCAGAAACTGTAGTATTTGCTTTATTTAAGACCAGATCCTCAAGGCAGGGCAACTCTGGGGGCAATTTTGAGGGTGTAGGTGGTGGGTGATACCACTTTTGTTGATTCCTGGATTCTCCAAGTCTGCACTGGCCACAGCAAGCCCCCGGGCTCCACTGCAGAGCAGAGTTGCTGCCCTGACTGGCTGTGCTCTGGGAACTGTTCAGGGGAGAACTGAAGACCAGCAAAGAGGCAGGATTCCAACATAGGTGGGGCCTTGAAGCTGGCCAGAGCCCTTCCCACACCCCGGAATGATCCAGACTGGTAGTCCACAATAGCACACAAGACAGATTGGACCTCCTGCCAGAAGATGACCTAAGCATTAGCCATAAAATTGCTGTTGAGAAAGCCATCTCTTACAGAAGGAGCAAAACAATAAATTTGGAGCTGGACAGCTCTCTCCTCAGGAAGGTTCTTATTTTTTCCTTGTGAAAATGCCACCGCATATCCCTGATCTTGGCTGCCCCAGCTTGGTCACCCCACCATGGACTCAAGAAAAGCAAGCATCTCTTCCAAGAGCCCTGGTGGATTTAGCTTCCCCTCTTTCCAAGTGATCTCCGAACATTCTTTTCCAAGTGTTGCATGAACACACTTCTGTGTGCACACAAATACCACAAGCAATTGCATATAGGTTCAGAAGGAAACAAGATGAAATTTTAGAAACCCTAGGCTCCTCCTCAAAGCCTCTTGAGGAGGACTTTGCATGCTTTCCTGGCCCTTTTTCTGAGTCTTGGCTCCAGAATCGACATTGTCACTCAGAGAATCCCTGACGCTGACTAATTACTGACAAGAGTCCCTCAATCTGTTCCTGCCTGTGGCCCGACCCTGGACTGACAGTCGCTTCTAGTTCTGTGGCTTTGACCTCTATCAGTCCTGTCCCTGAGTGAGCAGGAATGTCTTCCCTGGTCACATCCATGCCTGCCTCTGCTGTTGCACATGGCCACAGCTTGGGCAGCAGCTGCAGGGGACCTAGGGTCTCATCTACAAAGTGTGGCTGACCATATCTCCATAGCAACCTACAGCTTTCCTGGTGGGATCTCCCAGGTCAGCACAGTGCATAGTGCAACATGGCCAGCCCCTTCTGCTTTAGGACGCTTTGTCTGGACCTCCCCTTCCACGTCGGGTGGGTGACTGCTCACCTCACTGGCCTCGACGCCCAATACCCAACACGACCCCCTCCCTGTCTCCTTACTTGTGCCCTGTATCTCTGACTGAGACAGGAAATGGAGCCATTTTCAGATGTGTGCTCTTCCATGTTTCCTAGCACCAGACCCCTGACTGTCCAGTCTCCCCCAGCACTCCCTGAGTCAGAGGCAGTGCCCTGCGAACACCTGGGAAATGCATGCTCTGAGGAATGAATAGGTGTGGTGACCAGAGAGGCCCTGGTAATGTTGGTCAGAGTACTTGGTTCTTACAGACTGGGGACCAATGTCACTCTGGCAAGCGAAGGTCACACAAGGCACAATGTCTTGCAACCCTCAGGTGACTCCTATGCTGAAGCTGATCCATCACTCTCACTGAACCTCCTACTATTTCTTTGGTTAAAATATTCAGGCAGAGCCAGGCCTTGGTTTCAGATCCATCTTGAGAAATGGCCACCCCTTTTTTACTTGGTATTGGGGATAGAACCCAAGGCCTTGGCACTGAGCTACATCCCCAGCCTTTTTTCATTTTGAGATAAGGTCTCACTAAGTCATTAAATTGATCAGGCTGAGCTTGAACTTGTGATCCTCCTGCCACAGGCTTCTAAAAGATTGGGATGACAGGAGAGTTAAAGGCCCATCTTGAAACACCAGAAACCTGTACACGAGGGAACTGGACCTGTTTTGTAAAATGTTTGGAAAGTGACACTTCCTGAGGCCTGGTCACATTAGAATATGCGCTCTCTGTCTGGAATGACAGACAGAAACCCCACAGGACTTCCGTGCTCCGGAGTCCGTGTGCCTGAACCTTTCCCTGTGCCCACAGGGGCTGTGACCAGGACACTGCCTCTCCACGTGCTCTCAGCACTTCACATCCCTTTGCTTTGGTCCCTTCTAGAGAAGATGCTCTTGAAGGGTGGCCTTTGTCCCCACAAAGACACATCTTCGCTCTCTTCTCTGAGACAGGGGACACCCTGCTTCAGCACGGGAGCTCCAGGCTGGGTGGCAGTGCAGCGCCGCACGACGAAAGGGTGTCATCTGCCCTCGCTGACTTGACTTCTTTAGACCTATTTTTCTGTATTTCTCCCTCCTTCCAATCGCAACCTCTGCTGAAAAGACCCCCAGGCACAGGGACAATAACATCATTCATTAAAATATTTAAATCAGCTGCAGCAGCGATAATGACCAAGATAAAACCATGAAGCACAAACTGGCTGTAACAGAGACACCTAGTTTGCCAAGGGGGCTTGGAACAGTCTGGATTTGGGTGCTGGATATGGCGAACCCTTGTCAATAGACAGGACCTCAGATGAGCTGGCGGTTCTACCATTCTGTCCCGGCTGGCTGTTTTTACCTGTTTCCCAACCATCTCCGATTCCAGGGTTTAATAAGACCACTGCTTTTAGTGCCAAACAATAAAATTCTTATAAAAGAAACTGTTACTTAAGATAAAAACTATTTCATTCAGTTATCTGGCAAAAGTATCACAAATAATAGTTGCTTCTAATTTTTCCTAAAAAGATTAAATTTTGCCTTGCGTCCTGCAAGCAGGTAATTGCTAGCTGATAGAATCTGGGATGAGAACAAAGACCCTGATATATTTTGTTGGAGAAATAAATCCAATTTGAAAACCAGGAGCTGTGGGGAAAGTGCTTTGGACATGGAGGGAACAATGCAGTTTGGGACAACTAAATATGGGGTGTGTGGGATGGTTAGGAGTCAAGTCTCTGGAGAGAGTGCGCTGGGTGTGTCCCCCACAAAGTTCTCCCTAGCCACTCTACCACCTGTGAATGGCTTACAACCCCCCGTAGAAGAATCCTCATCTGCGAGATGGGGA